GAACAAAAAATGTAAACAATTTTAACTTTTAAGTAACATGATAAAGTTGTTCCTTCATTTTTGTAGACATGCCTTTGATTTTTTTTTGTCATTGTTGAAAAAGAAAGGAGTATGCTCAAAAACACTTACCCCTTGTGGAAAATGAGAAACATAATTCTTTCTTTATTCCTTCAGCATATGTATATGAATTTTTTTTATTCACTTTACAATTTCACATTACTTTTGCACAAACCCCCCTCTCACAGTCCACTTGTTTTCAAATTATACTGTTGGTTATCACAGTTGTATCCAAAGCTTTAAATAACTGTCTCTTTTTCATCAAAGTCCACACAGGCTGGTTCAGTTATTTTAAGATGCAATTGACAAGATGAATTATTCTTCTCTACTCTGTTATTACAATACAGTTTGTTATACCTTCACTTTAAAAAGCACCACTACACATTCTTCAATGCTAAACTAACCATTACACAGTCGAGAACTAGAGTTAAATAATGATTTTTTTACACATATTTATACCCTGACAGAGGTCTAACACATGGGTATCCGCAAAAAATTTTTCCCTCAAAAATACCTCTTAGTAATAAAAAGTAATGGCTTTCAAGTTCATGTCTCCAAAGATGTTGATCTGAAATGACCACAGAAATTTAAAAAAAAATTATTTTTAGCAGTCCATTCTATATAGCTCTGTGGATTATTTGTAGCATGTCTTAGTAATTCAATGTTTCTCAAAGACTGGTGGACAGTTTCCATTATTTTCAAAGATTTCACCACTCCAAAATTAGGATATACAAGGCTTCCATTATTGTTAACTGTGATAAATCCACATGTAAAAGATGTTTCAGAGACTGGTTCAACAAAAGCATATTGGCATTCTTCACATTTCAATCCATCCACAATTCTATACAAAATCATCCACCTATACAATGAAGAACATGTTCAACATATAGACCTAATCTTCCTGTTGGAAAAAAACATGGGAAACTGAAACATCAACAAGAGAAGTTTCCTTTTCCATTGACCTAGTAATCTTGGAGCATGTCCAAACCTTCATGCTGTGTTTTGGCATTTCCAGTAGAAAACGGTTCAACAGCTACATGATATAAAATACTTCTAACAGCACTCTTCAGTTTCATAGCAAGTACATTAGTATTCCAAACTCCCCATTTTCTTATACATGAAAAAAAAAGAAAAAACAATTCCAAATGGTCAAATGAAAAATTTTAAGTTAGTATATATGTGAAAGAACTTCCTTGTCATACAGGACTGAAGGACAGCTGTAACATGCTCTTTGTATTAAAGGCAAAGCCTAAGACTGATCAATTTAGTATTTTAAAAATTGTCTGTCCTTTTTCATTCTTCCAAGCAAGAAGGAAGTACTTTGTTCTTAACAAATTATCCCTAATAGGCATTATACAAGTAGCAGACGAGCCTCCTTTGTAGCCCCTAACTTTAGGACCTTTACTATTAAATATGTCAAAAAAATTGTTCACTTTTATCAACAATGTCTTGAGTCAGCTGACTTGACAAAATAAAGAATGTCCAAAAAGTCTTAAAAATTAAGTTGCTTTAGCAACTGATACACTTAAAGCCTGTATGGAGAAAGAGACTTTAATTATTTGTTGTTTAAAATATACATTTTTGGACAGTGTCAAGTTTTGTAAGGATGGATTCATTACAGTATGTGTCTGTGTCTTTTGGTTATAAATTTCAACTATAAACTAACAGAAACCACTTTTTGAAAGTAAAAATGAACCACATTTCTATTATAAAAAACGTTTTGTTGATAGGTATAAATGTGTCTATCAAACAGACAACAAAGGCATACTACCATGAGTGATTTAGGTTAGTTTCATTGAAATAACTAGTGATTGTTTTTGTGTAATTTGAATAAGTAATTCATTCTCTATTGTAATTGATGGATTCTTTTTTTTTTCTAGGAAGAGTTAATGGGATTTATATGCATTTCTACTTACACCTTGACCCAAACATCAGTTTTGATAGGACAAGTGATGTATTTATTGCACTTAGCTCACCAGATTCAATCCCTGATTTAGTAAATGATGTATACAGATTGAGTAATGGGACTGCATACACATTTTCTATATCTCAAGACTTGGATACAGCTTACAAACAGCAATATATCACTAAACATTTATGTATGGTAGTGTATATACTTTGATATAATCTAATAGTAACAATGTTGTTAAAAGTGTATTTCCTTTGATGTAATTTAATAGCAACAATATCATTTAAAGTGTATGTATTTGGATATAGCTTGCTAGAGACCCTGTCAATAAATATCTATGTTGTCCACCCTGTAATATAATGAATAAATTTTATTGTTCACACAGCTAATAAACTTCAACTAACAACTTTTTCTGGATAATCACTCTGCAGTTGTTACTCACAGTTCATAGTATTTTGCATTTTTTCCAGATAATGTATTTTTTTTTTCAACAATGCTACCAACATTAATGTTTAACAGTATGCTTTATTAATGACAGAAAGTTGAAAAAGCACTCCATAAATATCCTTGAAATTTATGAAACAATATTAATAGTCTTATATATATATCGTGACTTGCACAAATGTTTTCAGTAAAACCCTTACTCCATTGAAAATATTGTATTAAATGCTGCCATAGCAAGGAAATGTGTTTTAAAATTAAATGTTGGTAATTAATTTTAACAATCAAGTTAGTATCGGTTAGAATTTCTGGCTTTTGTTATGCCATCATAACTTAAGTAAAATCCTCAGCAATAACATTATAATTGAAGATTTATGCCACATCATGTCTTACCTGTCGTGTTAGTAAGCCACTTCGAAAAGACGTCCTTCCCATCTTATCATAGTCAGTACAGTTAGTGACATAAGGGGGTGGTAACAGGTGTGAAGTAGTCTAGGAAACAGAAATATTTTGATTAAGTGAAATAACAATCTAAATTGGTAAGTTTGCTAAAATTGAGATAATACAATAAAGTTTACGTTAACATCCAAATCTAAGGTAAAAATAAGAATCTAATGGTACCTGTTATGTATTTTCTTTAAATATTGACGAAATTGACCAATTAACTTACATAGCACAACTTAAATATTTTAAATATTCATAAAGAATATATATATATATATATACATACATATACATAAAATGTACTTTTAAATGCATGCAATAGTTTTCTTAGATTACTTAATCTTTACATAAAACTTGTGTTCTTTCACAAAAACATACCTGGTTCACAATTTTTACTGTCCCTTTAGGGTTATGATAACATGTCAGTCTTAACAAAAATTCAAAACATATTTTTTAGAAGTTACATCTTTCACAGTCATGAATATTTTTTTAAAAAAAGGCATAACACTTTGTTCACTAGTGTAATCATTCTCAAGCACACAGGTTTTAGGTAATCAATAGTGATTACTTTATGTATGTACATGAATTGACAAATTATTTATCTATAGCTGAACAGGAAGACAAAAAAGTAGATGAATTGTAATGTGGAAGATGTGTAAAAGATTTGGATGAGATCAGGAAGGTCTGGGGAAATAAACTTTAAAAACATTTAGAGCTGTGCCTGGGTATTTGTTTATTGTGGGATTGTTTGGTTTTATTAGTAAGGCATCTGCGATTTTTCCTCCTTTAATTCAGGTTCATATGTTAGTATGGTGAAATTCTGTTTTTGTTCGTATGTTCATAGATGTATGAAAGGAGTTTCTGTTGTTCATTTAACCTTATGTTCAAGTTACATCGTATTTCAACTTGTACTGTGTTTTGAGCTGCTAACACAGATCTTCATCAGGTTTTTTTGTTTCTATTTTTTTCTATCACAAATTGTTTTTAAAAAGTTTGCTGACTTTTGATATCATATGTAAAGTTTCATGATGTCCTGCTGTAGGATTTTGTTTCCCTGTTCTGGTTTTACACTGAAAATCTGGGTTTGAGTTCTAATTTTGATCATGTTTCAAGTGATTTTAATTTTTACTGACCCAACTTGAAATTGAACCATTTGAATTAATTGTGAAAGTTATTTTCTCTTATTTTACTAACTAAAAACTTTCCAGACAGATACAGTCCATTAACAATGCCTTTCAAGTATATTCTTCTTTGTCTAAACAACCTTTTCTCAAGTAAGAACAAAAACTTTGCAAAAAGATAAACTCATATCAGATAAAGGATAATCAACTTTAGACATTTTTCTTTGCAATTATTATAGAAAGTAATTTGTTTTTAATAAAACATGTGGATAAATAACTGAAAATAATTAGATGTTGGACTTTATCCATTTCTGCAAAGGTCCCTGACTTCTTTCTCATTGCTACCATAGATTTTGGAATGAGAATTGCCAGAATCTGGTCACCCAGAATGCTTGATTGAGCTCTCACCCTGAGGATCAACCTTGGTTTAAGAAAGACACATACTGAGAATTTTTGCAGTGGTGTGGCATCTGATAAGTCTGAGACTAGTTTGGATAGACCATACAGGACTCTAATACTTATTCCAAACTGAGTGATTCAATTCTATTATTGCATATGGGGAAATTCAACAAATCACAAATATCTAACAAAAATAATACAGTATTCTCTATGGATATGTTAAAGATTAGGTGACAAGACATTGAAAGTTTTGTCTTTTGAATGTGTTTTTTAGCTCCTAGCTAAGAACACCACTTGTGGAAATTGTTGCTGCATAAGGCATTATATCTACGAGCACAAACCATGTTAAACATTGTTAATTGAGTAGCTATCAGGAGATAACCTGTGGATCTCTCTTTTTGAATAAACACTGAATGATTGCAAAGCCAATTTAATTCTGTTAATCTTGTGATTAATAAACCTTCTTAACTTTACAGTAATGCACATATATGTTGTGTGTGTGTGCTTATACATCTCACATGATCATTTGGAAAAAAATTGGGAACAGCACCTATTCAGCTGTTACAAGACTGATAACTGCACAATGTAACACATATATAGTGCCTCATGTTACAATTCAGGAGCTCAGAGCAAGGGCCATGACAACGTTTTAGTCAGAAATCTTTTAACTACTTGACTGTCCTATCTGTTTGACCTGGGTAATTGAGTTTATTAATTAGGAAGTTGGTGGTGGAGGCTCAGTCAATTGTTGGAGCTGCCTCTATCTCTAAATTCTGTACTTCTTCATCTGGCTTACCATGAATGGTCAGACAAATGCTCTCAGCCTTTTCCTCTTTATTCATATGTTTGGTTAAGTCAAACATTAAACAATATAGATTTTATATCAGGCATTGCATTGCATGTCCAAGAATCTTTTCATTCCAGACAGTGACCTGTCTAAAATTATTAGAGAAGTGGTCCAAATCTCCCTTGTCTGTATTCTGAGAAGTCTGTCTAGCCTTATTGACTAGGACCTGTGAAGCCATCACAAGCCTTTTTCCTGTTACCTCTAAAGTATGGTAGGCTCCCGATCTAGGGTGGTAAAACAGTGGGATACTCTAGTAGCTCATCTGTGAGTCATATCCATGTCAACAGTATACTTTCTGGATTGGGTTGACTCACCACTACCCTGTGACCAACTCACTTTTATCGTTTGGTGCTGACTGTTTCATCTGCTGGAGAAATAGCTCTGTTTAGCACCTGCAGACTCTCTCCAATATTATCAGGTGGCTTTGAATAGAGCCAAGACCTAATACTTCAAACTCTCCAATGATAGAAGAACTTTTCTCTCATAAAAAAAGTTAGAAAGACTAACAGAATTATGTAGAGGAAATGTAGAGCTTTCGATTGGTTATAAACTAATAGGTATAGTAAAGCAGGTGTAGATAAACAAGTCTTCTGAAATGTTGAATGGGTGGACAGAGCCAATATGGTGGATCTGATAAATTTTATGATATCTCAGCAAATAGAAAAGGTAGGAAGTTTTTTTTTATATTCTAGCTTGCTAATATCAGAAATGTGAGTTTATAATTTGTATGACACTATAGACATTGTATTGTAGGCATCATAAAATGTTATCTGACCAAACCCAGAAGATGACCACATGAAACACAAAGATTGATATTTAGCAATTTTTTTTTATATTTACTTTCAAATCAAGAAATGAACTAATGTATAATTCTAAAATTTGAATTTAATCTACAATTTGACGCAAACACTTATTAACGTGCATTCATAAAATAGTAGTGGTTGGCCTCTGGAATGGGTTGCCCTTGGATGTTGTAGAGGCAGTAAATTTAAATGAGTTTAATTAAAAGCATGATAAGTATATGAATGGTAAGGGCTGACTTTAATTTTTTTTAAGTTATTTATTTAACAGTTTTAGTTTAGTTTAAAGGATGAGACAGCCAAGATGGACCAGTAGGTCCCTGATCATTATGTTATGTTACATACATTCAAACAAAACATAATGTAAAATACTTCTGTATGTTGTTTTATAAAAGTACTAACTCCTCTGGTTTGATGTAGCATGTTTTCACACATTAGTGACGATCTCTTTCTCTCTTCAAGCTTATTTGAAATATGTATTTATGCTATATTTGATTAAATTTTGTAAACAAAAGTTTCATAATTCCAATGTTCCACAAGAAAGTGTCTACAAATTAAAATAAAATGAGAATTGTTGTTTAAGAACTAGCATTTATTGATAAATTCTATACAGTGACAGTGTGGTATATTCAGATGAAACTGAATTAACTGGAGATCTATTTCAAGTTATATGCAAGAAACTTTGACCAAGAATGGTATTGTTACGTCTCCGCTTGTTAATTGATTTTTCCGTAACTTCGTTCCAACGAAACTTTAACGACACAAGTCTTTACTTAATAAAACTGGTTTATTCTTTCCGAATATAACTTAACCGATACACTCAACAATCGCGCTAAACAAACGCTATAGCAACGAACGTCAATAATACTCCGACCGCAGATCAATTACTCACTATCTACACATTATTGCGTCACGTTGTGACCATCTTATATATATATACCAGCGTAACCTATTTCTAGTAAGAACTTGAACATTCGACAAAGTACATGATAGTTCTAGAAACGTTGCGTCACAGTGTCATGTGACTCGCTGATGCAACAGTATGTACTATTCACAAGATTGGTCATTCTAATTACAACAGAGTGGGACTGTACTCTCTAGACATCACCTGAACAATCTTTGAAGGCTGGACACTGCTGTTTACATCCTTACACAATGTGTGATATTAAGCAAAGTTCTCAGTGGCCAATAAACATATTATCTACTTTCAAGAACAACAAACAGTTTTGTCAACCACACATTCAGAACAAATATAATATTATGAGAAGATAGAACCACGTGATATACTCATATCAAATAAGAAGGTTTCACAAAGTTTCATAAGTTCCAGTTTTTTTTTTCAAGCTTTCACAAAATAAATAATTACAGAACAAGGTCAGCCGAACTAAGATCAATTATCATTAATTACTTGTCATTATGAACATAAAACTGTGATAAAAACTGTAATATATTTTATTTTCAAACATTAACGTTTTCGAAAGCTGAAAATGTATTTCTAATTGGTACCTCCACTCACAAAAAGCTTTCTCAACTTATACTGTCCTCTATCGGTGTATATCATTTTAAAAGTAATACATAGAGCAGTGAACAAAATTCTTTGGAAAACAATTATCTCCTTTATTTACAATGATATGAAGTTCTTTTTTACACTCGTGAGTCTTCCTTGCTAACCCTCATCATAAGCCTCGTACAGATTCACATGTGGATGTAGAAAAAATAATTTTTGTAGACTTTATATATATGCATTTTGGAATACCAATAAATTATATATTACTGTACCGACATCACGAAAATTAATTGTAATTTACCAGGCTTCTGCACAAGGCTGTATTTGGCTCTAAAAAAATATAATTTCTGTTTTGAAATAGCATTCAATTAGTAATTAGTTAATGCTTTTTTTCTCTCCACAATTATTAGTTAGTATATATCCTCCATTTTGGCTTCCAATCTGCTGTAGTCTTCAGAAATTCCTGAGAATGACTGTGTATAGTGATAGTTCCAGGATGTAATCCTGGCTTGGTTTGTTAAAATGGATGGTGTGCTGTTCTGTTGATCTGTCCACAGTCTACCTCATTAGGGCTGACTATTTTGATGTTGACTGACTGTGTTATCGTTTAAATGAATGTGGAAAACTTCTTTTATGTTTGTCATATGTGGTTCATATCCCATTATTTTCATGCTGTTCCTATTTATTGCATGGTCTTCTTTGGCATGATGGGCTATTGCTAATATAATGGTTTACAGATCTTGTACGTCTGTTATGCCCCTGAATTCTAACCTTTCTTTCTTAATTGTACTGAAATTCCCATTTAAAAGAGATGTTGTAAATGATCTTTTAACTCTCTATTGAGTGTTTATTAGGTGGTTTTGTATTTACACTATGCTGTAAACACTGTAAAAAACTGAGTAAACTTACAAATACATTCTTGCCAGTGCCTAATACATTTAACCTATGGTAGTATATTTATCCTAGGAGTTAATCCTATTTTTGAGTCAGGGTTCATTAATTATGCATTATTTATATACAACTTTATTGCTGTTCCTATTTAGATCATGTGACATTAGCCCATAAAGGGGGTTTTGTCAAACAAAAAACTTGAATCTCATTCAAATCTGATTTGTCAATAAAGTAACTTATGAAAAGGCAGGAACAACCATCATCCAAATCATCTTTTTTCAACCTTTATTATGACATCAAAGGATTGAACAGTACTAATTTAACAACAAATATATTGATTTCCAGAAAATCAAAGAAAACTTCACTGTAAAAGTAACTTCATAATTATAAAATAACTGTCTTGGTATATTTTTATTAATATATATTATTTTATTTTAATCACAAAAGCCCCCTGGTGGCTCAGAAGTCTGAGATCTTAGAATGCTAAAAATCTGATTTCTAAATGAAGACTTGGTGGGATTCAAGATATTGTAACTAAGGCAAATAAAAATATCTCCCAATAAGCAGCTCTGAATTCCACCTAATATCATTGTTTGAATAAAAGATACAGTACAATTACTAGTACAGTGAACTTTTCAGATGCTATAACCTCTGGTTAAACTAGAATAATTCAGATTCTTATATATCTAATACTTTTTAAAAATCAATCTTGATATTCACAGGCACTCAATGAACCATTCTTAGAAAAAATAAACTTCTTGAAGTAATGTGTTATTTTGAAACAAATTTCATTTTACATGTGTTTTGACATACAACTCTCTACAATGGCTGAAATCACACTGTATATTGATAAAGTTATCTTTAATTTAGTAATGTAGTGAAATAAGGTACCTTTAACACCTTCAAAACAATACACTATACACAATCGACTTAAGCAACTCATCACTTGTATAACTCAGATGCGAGATGGAAAAAACATACCAAGACATATGGAAAACTACTACAGTACAATATAGCCTCTGTCTACATTAAAGTTATTTTACTACTTACTGTAGAAAATTATAAACATGCCATTGTGTAAGGTTTGGTCAATCATTGATATTAATAATTTTAAATATACCTTTAGTCTGACTAATTTCAGATTATATTAACTTTATATTTCCAAATTAAGGTGTTATTAATACTGAGTAAATAAAACACATACCTACATTTGTAAAGAATCTTTATTTTTATTGGTTTATCAGTAATTGTTTACAAAACTATTATTCAGAAGCAGCTTCTAAGGCTGATATTTAAATAACTGAGTAGTTAATATTTTAGTATTTTGATATTCTACATAAGTCAATATACATACATCAAACATTTTAGTTTATATGACTGAATACAAATATAATTTTATAATTGAGAATAAAAGATCCCCAACTGTTCTCGTGAGTTGTGCAAAATATAAGACATGGACTCAGCCCCAGTCTCATGGTTTAGTAGAACAGGCAGTACAAGCTGTTGATAATATGCTTCCCAACTTTGGTAATACTGAACAAACTGATTTTGATGTACACGTTTTGTACATCATGATGGCATAACATGCAACTTAGGAAAGATCAACAAGTTGTTCACAAAACATGCTCATGTTCAGATAGAAGAGGTGCTTTGAATGAAGAGTACATGGGTGTACCATCATGGAGACTGGGTGTGGCTTTAGTATATGCTAGTGGAACAAAAGAAGCTGTGTTCTGGCAAGATAGGCCCAGGCCTTGTGCTCTAATGAGTGTGTTCCCTTCACATTACTGATATAGCTGCTGTACTCAGTGCTTCCTGTATAGTATGAACATATATATAATTTATAAAGAAAAACACAACACTTAGAAAAAGTTTTAAATAAGAATTTTAAATAATCAAAAATAGGAAACTACCTCCTTTTACCATTGAAATTCTACAGGCATGAACTGATCCAGGTAATTCATACAGATAAGGATAAGTAGTATAGATACAACCACACATCTCCAAAGTTAAGTTGGCAACACACTCTGAGAAACAGGTCTAGAATAGAAATAAAAAGTTTTGAAATGAAGGAAATCACATAAAATCATGACTGACTGTAGAAAATAAGGTTATAACATAATGATGATTTAGAAAATAGATGATTTTAATAACTTTGATCTTTTGATATAGAATTACTTGATTGAGCTATAACCAAATGTTATCTCTACAATGTACATGTATTTCACACAATAGTAATAATACTGATATTTCTAGTATCAATTAAATATATATTGTAAGTTTGCGACATAAATCAATGTCATGGTCGGTAGCCTAAACAATCACCTATCTCTAGAACATTGTTAATTCATAATTATACAAATAGACTCAACACAATTGAATGACAGCAACTCAAGACTTAATGGTTAAATATCTGGAGCATCTATGAGATCAAATAGTCAACTAGGTCAAACAATGGTAACCCTATGCTTCTCAGAGACAGGTGATGCACATCTGCTTAAGCAACCACTGCAAAGTTTCCCTAGAACACTGGCGATGTAGTCAATGCCAAGATACAGTAAATGTTGAAGGGTAGTATCATACAGCCTTCAAAAAGTGCTTTGTTTTCCTTAGTAATGATATTCTGTAAATATGCACGTTTGGTTTTGATTTTATATAAGAGAATGTGGTAACTGACACTGATGCCTTTCCCTTGCTACAAATACATGAATATGTTTGAAGGTTTCCATTGGTTCAACACTTTACACCTGGCATGTGGATAATAGCTGAATGATAAAAGCAGACCCAAAATTGCTTTTTGTATGAGAGACTATATGAGTTTTTGCTTCAAAGAGGACAATATAGCTGATAGGCATTGTTAAAAGACTGCATCTATCTAGGAAGATTTCAGATGGCATTTTAAGTGATGAAAATCTGTGCTAGCACCTAAACTTTCACCCAAAAGCTTACAAAACAAATAAAGTCCCTTAACAACAAGGGGCTTCAAAGAGAGAGGTGCATGGTGTATGTTGGAGACATCTTAGTGCTTGGTTGAATGTTTGAGTCTGTTCCTGAGAATTTTAAAATGGTCTTCTAGTAGATAAAAAGGCATGCTTCAAGATGAAACAATGTTCATATACACAGAGTTAGTGGTATTCTGTCCAGGAAGACCAACTGAAGGATTTAGAACTACCAGCTAAGGTTGTGAAATATAGTACAGGTTCAAGCAACCTATGGTATTTGTAAGAGCATTTATGAGTGCAGGAAGATGTTTTGTACCATTATTACCAACCACCAAGCTGTTTTTCTTAATCTGTGTTGCATTTATTGGTACCCAAAGCTTTGAGGCACAAGATTATACAGATTTAACAAAGACCGTATGATACCATGATATCAACCACACCTGTGTTAGCTTTTAAAAGTAGTTCTGCTGGCTGCATTTGAAAGAAGACTTTTGGTGCTGGTGTCAACAATGTACATTGTATGCCACCTAGAAAAAAGGCCAGCATAAAAAGGGTAAATTCCAGCAGAGAGTTGTTTGGTTCTACACCACAGAGAACAGCTCTGGATATTGTTGATCAATCTATGACAACACAAAAAGGTTGCCTTAAAATACTTTTGGCCATAAAATACTTCACAAGGTGGACTGAGGCTTGTCAGTACAGTGCATGATTGATGCACTGGGAGAGCACTAAAGAGCCAGGTTTGGAGTATTGGAAGATATCCACATAGACCATGGAAATAATTTCAACAAGGAGGTGTTGGTAACTGTCAACTGACCTCAGGACTCAGCATGATGGATTGAACTCTAGCATTATCACTAGTCTTTGATACTTCCACATTGCTTACTGAGATGATGGTCATTCCAGTAGTTGGAAAATGAATAACAGATCACCATAATTGCAGAATAACAATGAGGCCTCATCCATCCTAGGGAAGATAAGTGCCAGAGTTAATGATAATGGAACTTACTTCTTGGACACAAAACAATACATTTCATGTTTGTGCTCTGTTGTTATATTACACAAACCTGGAAACAATAGGCTTTATCTGTGGTAAACCACAGAACACCAGTTATGTGTGCATATGGTTGCTGTATCTTCCTCTCCAACGTACACTCATGCAACATCAGGTCACTTTTTGCACAGTCAAACTGCCTAATAAACTCCACAGTACATTTATCACAGTAATGGCAATGTTAGAAATAAGACTGAATACAACTACCTTCATTCTATAAGAAACACCTTCCAGACATAGTTGAACATTCATATCTATTTTATCTACATTCACCAGAATGAAGCTTGTATTGATTAGCCTTAATGGGTATTTTTGCTCAGAGTGTGTGATATATCATGGG